CCCCCCCCTCCTCTTGATTCTTTTTGAACCCCAATTCTTTAGGTTAGGATAAGACACTTATCAATACAATTTTGTGAGATTATTGTACGGTTGTAATATGTATTTAGGCTCAAAAAGACAGAATTGTTGACATAATTGAGCCAATATATAACAAGGTCACAGTGACCTACATTGTATAACTACTTGTTAACTATGTGCTACTTGTTAATAATCTCCTCCTTCTAACATGTACAGTAAATATATTGTAAAAGGTTTCTATTTCATCACGGCGCCTTTTCTGCATTACGGCATCACAGTTTTCCAAATTCGTGACATCAGGTCATTGTTGAGCCATTGTGAAGCAAGTGACGTGAAATAGGGTGTAAGATAGATATTTCTGGTAAGCTCTGTATTTCACGCACGGAAATGAGAAATGGAAAAACTCTCATCTTATGTGGTTGGCTATGTAAGAAAATACAGGCGATTGATAAGTAGTCTACAGTACATGGATGTCAGATTGAAGAGGTGAATGCTACAACGTATAGATCTGTATGATCGGGACCACATTATGTACATTTCTGACATAAAATACACCAATGAATTATTTTGGGTATTGTAAATGGAGACGAGTTATGATTAAGGATCCCTGTACCACTGCCAAAAATGTAACGATGCATTGAACACTAATTTTCCTGGGATGACTACAGCTTTGATAAGTCTTTTTGAAAAAGAAAAATATACACTGTACATTGCGTGACTTTTATGAGAGAAAAAGACTAAGATGAAATAAATACAAATTTATCAACAACAGTGTTCTGATTATAAAACTTCAGTGCGTCTATAGACCTGAATTTGAACCCAGGGTTTCAGATTGTTATACTATCACACTAACCGACCAAGCTACTTGGTTAAAGTAGTATTCTGACCCTATTGTGCTACAGTTGTAGCCAAAACAAAATTCAGGGGAGGTTACTCTAAATGGCAAAAATCACTACAATGGGACGAGGATCCTTAAGTGATTTTTATTGCACATTTGTTTTGTTTGTGGTAAATTAGCATATGACTACACTGTGGTAGTGCCAGATAAATGTTCAACTGAATATCATTGTAAGTGTGTGTAGAACAATAATTATATTTTATATTTATTGGATAAACAGTAGATCCTCAGTACGAACACTTTCATAGATTAGCCCTCTCACCCCTTATGTAACTTTAGTACACTCTACGATGCATTGATATGGACGAGTCCATTATGGTCTACAGTGGTGAAATGGTTAACAATTGTAACTATAAAGTGAGTTTGTCTTAGCCCGCCTGGTCTGCAAGACAAAAGTTGAAACAAATTAGGTTAACAATGGCACTGTCTCATTATTCCTTGTTTGTTATCAGCGTCTCTGACTTAAGGATCACCGTACCACTCAAAAAATGAACTATGCATTCGAAAAAATATTTTTCCAGCATGACTATGTAGCTTTGAAAAAGAGTGACTTACAAGTTCATTATAAAAAGTGACTTACAAGTTCATTAATATTATTGCGTTCCCTATAGGAACATATGTTTATAGACAATATGTAGCTTTGATTAATTATTTTTGAAAAAAAATGAATACCTTACAGGACTTTGATGAAATTTAAGGGAGATGAAATAAACAATTGCGATACCAGGACAATGGAAATACGCGCTACAGTATACATCCGAACGGCTGTTAAGGGGAGGTTACTGTATAAAGTAAAAACGGCAGTGCAGTGGGACAGAGATCCTTAATTTCATGGGTTTCACAGGTTTAACCTTACAGAGATCATCTGGAACAGTTCTTTCATGTGCTCCTTTATTAAATAAAGAAGCGAGCTAGAAAGGAAATGCTTGTATGTATATATGGATCATATAATAAGTTAAAAAAACACTCAAAACACGAAGATTGCATGATTGCGAAAAACCATTTATTAAAATAGGTCCTAAAACTGATCCTTGCAGAAAGCCATTTATTTAAAGTAAATAAAAGAAAGTGTTCCTAAAACTGATCCTTGCTTAAACCTGTTTAAATAAAGTAAATAAAAGTGCTCCTAAAACTTATCCTAACAGAAAACCATTTGTATAGTAAATTAAAGCAGTTCTTCAACCTATATTATTGGTTTTCTCTTTGGCTTATCAGTTTATTTGGAATATTTTTTATAAGCTG